GAGAGAGAGAGAGAGAGAGAGAGAGAGAGAGAGAGAGAGAGAGAGAGAGAGAGAGATTGGATGAGCAACGCACCAGCGAACAGGTAAGTCTCCAACCCCGCGGCTGGCCTCACGCTACTTGCATCGATAGGATGAGCAAAATCAAATGAATCTTCCTCTAGGACATGGAAATATACACTACTACACGTGTGTGTGTGTGTGTGTGTGTGTGTGTGTAACAGAGAGAGAGAGAGAGAGAGAGAGAGAGAGAGAGAGAGAGAGCAATTGTACATGGAAATATACACTACGACAAATTTGTGCGTGTGTGTGTGTGTGTGTGTGTGTGTGTGTGTGAGAGAGAGAGAGAGATGCGGCCGCACACTACTTCCAGGGATAGGATGAGCAAAATCGAATGAATCTCCTGCTAGAACATGGAAATATACACCGCCACACTTGTATGCTTCGCTCTATGCACCACCCCGCGCCCCTTTTCCTAGGGGCCCTGCGACCGCGCCGTTTCTCTCTGATTGCACCCATCCTGCGCTTTGTCGTGAGCGCGAATGGACAGGGGACTCATTTCCGGTTCCCACCATCCCACGGTTTCTCATGGGCCCGCAGCAGCGGGTGTCGCTGGGACCTTTGTAACTTTTAAGAGTATAGCGAAGAGAAAGTACATGTCTTTCTTTTGTCCAACCTTTGCATTTGCCCTATACACCCCTTAAGTCTTTTTGGGGCCCCATCCCACATACGCACTCAAAATTTTCATTTTAATCTGGGCGGCCTTCTCGCCTGCCTTGTGTCTTTGCAATTTGCTATAGACGGCCTTGCTTTGCACATACATGCTTCAAAAACTCGTTCAAGGGCGAGTGGTCAAGTCCACAACCCGTTTGACCTCAACCCCCTTTTCTCTTTGTCGCCCGGCATACCCGGGGCCCAATCCCGCTCAATGACTTCTTAGGCTACTCACCTGCACATTCAACACAATTTGTACAAAGCATCCCCCACATGGGGTCAACACAATCCTTCCCACAAGCCTAAGTTCCCTTTTCCTTAGCCCTTTGTGCTTTCCTTTTCCTTCCTAAGTCGAGGCCAATCTCTTCCCTTAGCCATGCAGTCCGGATAATGGTTGAGTCAACTTACCTTGCTTTAAGTATCAACTTTCTCTAGTCCCTTTTCGGACGTGCCTCCTTCCAATTTCTCAAGTGTCTTTTCCTTTCCTTCTTGGCGGCACAAGGGACCGACAACCCTCCTTGCCCACTTTCTCCGCCAAGTGAGGACAGATTCCTTTTACTGTCCATTCCTTGGCAATGTAACAAGTGAGTGGGAAGGGTTAGTTATATCCCAAGAGGAGAGGGAGGGGGAGAAGGTAAGGTCAAGGCTTCAGAATGTGGGAGAAGGACGATGACGGGACGAGGAAGGTGACGGTGGAGGAGGAAGAAGTGGAGGAAAGAGAGAGAAAGGAGAAAGAGGATAGAGAAGGAGGGAGCGAAAGAGAGGGAGTAGGAGAGAAAGGGGGAGAGAAAGAGGGAAAGAGAGGGAGAGAAAGAGAGATAGAGAGAGAAAGAGACCTCCTACTCCTGATCAACTTAACCCCTACTTGTCCCATCGTCCTTCCTAAGGTTCTCTTTCTACACCTTGCTCCGTTGTGCCCCCTTTGGTCATGGCCTTTGGTTGGTGAATGAGATGGAGGGGGAAGGAGGGTGTGAGGCGGTCGAATATGGGGGATGGGTAAAGGAGATGGAGGAGGAAGATGGTGTGAGGTGGTTGGCTATGGCAAATGGGTGAAGAAGATGGAGGATGAAGATGGTGTGAGGTGGTTGGCTATGGTGGATGGGTGAAGGAGATGGAGGAGGAAGATGGTGCGAGGTGGTTTGCTATGGAGGACAGATGAAGAAGATGAGGAGAAAAATAGTGTGCGGTGTTTGGCTATGGTGGATGGATGAAGAAGACGGAGGAGGGAGATGAAGTGAGGCGGTCGGCTATGGGGGATCGATGAAGGAGATGGAGGAGGAAGATGGTGTGAGGTGTTTGGCTATGGTCAATGGGTGAAGAAGATGGAGGAGGAAGATGGTGTGAGGAGGTTAGCTATGGTGGGTGGATGAAGAAGATGGAGGAGGAAGATGGTGTGAAGTGGTTGGATATGGTGGATGGGTGAAGAAGATGGAGGAGGAAGATGGTGTGAGGTGGTTGGCTGTGGAGGATGGGTGAAGAAGATGGAAGAGGAAGATGGTGTGAGGTGTTTGGCTATGGTGGATGGATGAAGAAGACGGAGGAGGGAGATGAAGTGAGGAGATGGAGGAGGAAGATGGTTTTTGAGGCAGTTGGCTATGGTGGATGGGTGAAAAAGATGGTGTGAGGAGGTTGGCTATGGAGGATGGGTGAAAAAGATGGAGGAGGAAGATGGTGTGAGGCGGTTGACTATGGCGGATGGGGGAAGGAGATGGAGGAGGAAGATGGTGTGAGGTGGTTGGCTATAGTGGATGGGTGAAGAAGATGGAGGAGGAAGATGGTGTGCGGTGGTTGGTTATGGAGGATGGGTGAAGAAGATCGAGGAGGAAGATGGTGTGAG